CACACACACACACACACACACACACACACACACACACACACACACACCCCCACAACCCTCAAAGGTGGCCTAGGGAACCCGCTCCCCCTCCCTCCTCTGATGACTCTTCCTTCCCTTTTTTCTTAAATCTTTTTTTTTTCTTTCGCTCTCCTTTATGCCGCCCCTATGCCTTCCCGGCTCTTCGACTCTTCCTCCTCCCTCCTTCTTGTCCTTTCTCCCCCTTCTCTTCTTGCCCTCTCTTCCTCCCCCTCCCTTCCTTTTGCAGGCTTGTCTCTGCCGCCGCCACCTCCACGGCGCCCGGGAGCCTAGAGGTGAGCTCCGCGGACCTGAGTCTCTGCTGTGGCCCAAGAGGACCGCGGGCCTCGGGCAGGTGTCAGTCTCCTAGATTGGGCGCAGGGAAAGGCGGGCACAGAGTTTGGGAGCTGTGCGCCAAGGAAGGCAGGAACTGGGACCGATCCCGTGCCCTCTGCGGAGCGGAAAGAGCCGGGGCCCCGCGGGAGCCAGAGCAGCCGCCGTGAGTAGTCGGACTCTGTGGCTGGACGGGAAGAGGCGAGGTGGACGAAGGGGTGGCCTAGCTGTGGGGCCATGGGTTCCTGCTTCCCTTTGGGAACTCCTGGGCACTAGGAAGGACCGGGCTCCAGGGGCCGCTGGGCTCCTGAGCGGGCCGCGCTTTGGCCACCTGGGTAGGGCGCACGGATCGGCAGCGCCTCGCCTGGTCACTGCGGGGACCACAGTTGGACAATGCGGACCCCCAGGTTAGGCCCGCGACGGGCACTGGGGCGCTTCCCCAAGAAGGGGGAAAAGGGGACTGCCAGCTGGAGGAATGGATGAGGGTTCCGGGGTTGCTGATTGCTACGCACTCTCTGGCCCTCCGCCTGTCTCCCTTCCCTTCACTTCCCTGCGCTGCGCTGCCCTCCTCCGCTCGGGCCGGCTCCCCGGGGATCAGCCAGCACTTAGTGGCGAGGCGATGGGGGCCTGTCCGAGGGGAGTGCTGGCGCACTGCTCTGCTCTGCTCAGCTCAGCTCAGCTCAGCTCTGCTCGGGCTGTGCTGCTCTGCGCTGCGAATCTCTAGCTCCCCCCGGCCGCAGGTTCTGGGCAAGCAGGACCGGAGCTGGAAAGTCCCCGGAGAACAAGCCGGGAGAATCTCGGGGGAGGGAGTGTGGTGGGGGCGCAGAGGTCCGGAACCAGAGTGGTGTTTCCGTAGCCCCCCGCCACCTTGAGCCGGCCCCTGAGAGTAGGCGCCCCGGGAGAGTGGCCCCGGCACGAGGCATGCATGACCTTCTTATTCCCCGACTCTCCCTGACATGCACTGACTACTTTCTCCCTTTCTGTCCTGCCCAGGAAAAACCAGCGAAATGTGGCGGGGGTCCCAGCACCCCAGTCCCCCTCAATCTCGTCCCCCGGAGCAGCGGCCCCAGGTTACCCGACATCCTGTGAAAGCAGCTGTGACTGTGGCTGGATGCTGCAGCTGCAGGAAACTCAGCTTCGAGGCAGGCTCCTGTGCTGGGAGAGAAGGAGAAGATGCAACATTTTTAAAGTTTCACAAACCCTCTGGCTGCACTGGCCCCCCTGGAGCTGGAGACAAACCGAATTAATGTTTTATACCTTCGGGTATAGGTTTGAGTTTTCCCCCCCTCATGCCAAGTATTTAAAACCTCTAGAAACCCATGATTTGACAATCAATGATTGCGCGATACTTTCAATTTGAATATTCAAAGGCTTAACAAAATGGACTATCTTCTGCAGAAATCCTGCACACAGAAACCCCATGGAGGGTCCGGAGAAACAGAGGGTGACATTCTTGAGGGTCCTGGACCCTGCTTTTACTTCATTTTGAGTGTTTTGCCCACCTTCCCACAAATAGAGCAGATGTCCCCAAAGATACTCTATATTTCTGCCTGGGAGGCAGGATCTGGGCCTCAAGTGTTCTAGTCTGTCCCCTAGGACCATACTGGACCAGGCTGACTGGTCAGGGGCCTTCCTACATCCCCTATCCCAGTTAAAGGACAAATCCCAAGATTGGGGGGAGCAAACATAGCTGCTAGTGAGTGGAGTAGGTCAGGGAACCACTGTGTGTCACTCTCAGAGGCCTCAGGTCCAAGCCCAGGCCACATCTCTGGGCTTCGTCTCCTTCCTGCTCCTCCTGGCCCACGTGTGGGCTTCCCTCCCCTTTCCACCCCCACTCTCAACCTGGGCCTCAAATGCCACAGTTTCAGCATAGATTGCCTGCCCATTAAGACCCTTTGCTCCTCCCTATGGAGCTGGGGATGCAGTCTGGCCTCACCCTCTTGTGATTTTCTGAGATTGGTGTGTTTTGATTATAAAATATTCTCTCTCTTTCCATAGGCCTCTGTTGAGCTCTGCCCTCCCAACTTCAGATGTCCTGTATACCAAGAAACATTTGACAAGCTTGACTCCTGTTTATTTCATCTGGGGAAAAAAGTGACAAAGATTTGTATTTCTGTTCTCATTTTTTCAGTGAGAGATATGCCAGGCAAGAGACAGCTTTCTCAGAGCCATATATGATCCCAGCTGCCAGCTGCTAGTCTTCCCCACAGGGAGATTAGATTAGCTTGATCCAGCCAGGCAGGAAGACTTGAGAGGCAGTAATAGTCCCAGACCACAGGGTTTAAACAGAGAAGTGATGGAGTTAGCCTTGGGCTAAACTCTCTACCAGTCTCAGGGAGGGAAGGAGGGGGAGGGTGTAGGATGAAGCCTGAGAGGGGTTAGGGTCAGGTTATCTTTGTAAAGAAGCCTAACAGTTTCCCAAAGAGAATTCAGGAGTTGCAGGCTACTATTAACCTCTCCACTCTCCTAAAAGTGTACACCCTTGTTGCTGAATGCCTGCTAAACAAGTCAAATACAGAGAAAAAGTTGTAGAGATGGGGATGGAGAATTTCTGGGTATGCCACCAATGTAGCACTTATATTCTTGGGCCTTAACCTGAAATTTGCCCACTCTTGGACTTATGTCCTGGGAATAGCAGAGATAAGGTAGGAGGGGGAAGGAGTGTCCCACATGGTTGTTTAGCAGTGGGGACTCTGTATAGTGAGAAGCACCTTCCATTCTCCTAGCCCATCTGAACCCTAGGGTCCCCATCCATAGCTCTAAGGAATCTAACTTCCTAAAGATGCCAGAGCATCCTACGTGTTTTTTTTATCTCAGGCTTCCCCTATGGTGAACACTGAGGACCAGATTCAGGTTTTCCCCATCTATCCAAATCGTGACGTGACCATCCAAATCTGGGCTGTTGTCTGATTGACCAGTGGAAACACCAGCCTCATCTCAATGATAAGAGCTCCATATTTGACCTCTTCCTCTCTCTTTTTGCCTCTCTTGTTATTTCTCTGTTTTTCCTATTGGTTTCTTCACTTGTAAAATGAGGAAGTTGGATGAGAGCATCCTTAAGGTTCCTTCTCAGATCATAGATAGAGAGGTGGAAGGGACCTTACAGGTTCTTAAATCCAACCCTTTCATTGTGTAGTTGAGAAATCTTGGACCCAGAGAGGTTCAAAAAGTGATTTACCCCAGGTTACACATATAGCAAATGGCTGGGCCAGAATCTGAACCCAGGTTTTCTGACTGCAAGATCAGCATGTTTTGTACTGTACCACATTACCTCTTAAGACACTGCAGATACAATATTCTTCGGTGCCAACCCCATTTCTTTTTCTTTTCTTTTTCTTTTTTTTTTTGTTTTTTGGTGAGGCAATCAGGGTTAAGTGACTTGCCCAGGGTCACACAGCTAGTAAGTGTCAAGTGTCTGTGGCCGGATTTGAACTCAGTTTCTCCTGACTCCAAGGCCAGAGCTCTATCTACTGCACCACCTAGCTGCCCCCCAACCCCATTTCTTGCCTCTCTCTTCCTCCCTCTTTTCTCATTTTAAGTTTTTTTCCCTTACATTTCTTCCTGCTCCTCACTTTTTCTTGTTCTCTTTTTCTGCCTTTACCTCTGTCTCTGCTAGCATCCAATCTTCCTCTGTCCCTGGACATGGAATGCTGCCTTGGGACTCACTGCTTTCCGACTCACGTAAGAGGATCTGTGAACTTATTACTCCATTATAATTTGGGCTCTGAGCCTCAAGAAGGAAATTGCTGTGTCTATGTTATTTCCTTTAAAATAAAACACCTGGCTGACATTCCGTGGGAGTTGTACCATCTATTGAAGAGAATTCACTAGGCCCCCCTGCTTGGAACCTGTTGAGGGAGCTATTGGTCTGTGTGCCCTGCCTGAGTCTGTGACAACTGTAATAAAAACGGCCAAGTGGCTTCCTGTCCCTGTGACCTTTGTGGCATGGAGTCCTGCTGACCAGTTAGCTTACCTGCCATTGATTCAGAAAACAGGATATCCAGGCCTGAGACCAAGATTGGATGGGACTTTTTTTCTTTTGCCCCTTGGGATGGCTGGGAATTTAGTTGGCTACAATTATTTTTGCGGTTGGTTACACAGTCACTCCCAATGTTACTAGAGTGATAAAGCCTTTAGGTGTGAAGAGGTGTTGGTGCAGAGGAAGGGAAAGCCTTTCTTGCTGGAGAAGAAGCTCAAATGTCTGTGATATCCTGGAGGAGCAGTCTAATACTGCCATTGGACAGATACTTAACAAAAATATAGTAGCCATCTCTAGGGAGGAGGGAGGGGGGAGGGAAGGAAAAAAAGAAAAAAAAAGAAATTTACATGATAACTTTATTATATATTTAAAATGAATAGCAAGTTATACATAATAGATTTGTAATTTCATGTGCAATCACATTTTTATTATACTGTTATGAAAATGCTTGTTTTATTCCATAAATTAAAAATAAATAAATTTTAAAAAAGAAAAAAGAAAGATGAAATATCCAGAGTGCTGGTTCTAGAATCAGAGTACTTGGGTTCAAATCCTGCCTTTATTATTCATTACTGGTGTGACTTTAGACAAGTCAATTGACCTCCATCAGGCCTCAATTTCCT